ATATTTTACAAGGATAGAAGTCACTGAGCCTAAATGACCATACCTTTACACTCAGCCCGTTACAAGCCTTGAAAAGACCTTTTTGATCTTGAGGGAGCTTAAACAATGGTTAGTTGGAAAATAAGAGCAAACCTATGGGTGAAATCATACATTCTGTTCATCTTTGTGAGTGTGAGTGTTTCTTTGATTTCGAAACTATAAATTATGGAACCATTATGTGTGAATATGGAATCATTCTTTGTGTGAGGGAATTTGAGTACCTTTGTTGAGCTTGAACTTGCATTTGAAGCAAGTATTGTGAGCTTGAGAATCTTTGATAATGGCGAGTCACAACTTGAATCTTTGAGTGCACAATTAATCCTTGCATGAGTAAGTTTGATCTTTTTGTGTGCATTCATGATTGAGTCTTGTGTAGCACTATTTAAGGCATCCTTTTTGAACTACTGAACTTGAGTTTTACTTGAGGACAAGCAAAAGTTAAGTTGGGGGTGTTGATGAGTCTACGTTTTGGACTCATTTAGGGATTTATTTTAATAGATTTAATGTCCTCAAATGCTTATTTTGTGCCAATAACTGATGTAAATCCTTGATTTTCAGGGATTTGGATTAAGGAGCAAAGAATGGACACTAATGGGCAAAACGGAACAAGGTAGTTGAAAGAATGAAGAAAAGAAGGCATGTTGATCTCCTAAACCATTGGGAGAGTCGCCAAAGTGCCACTATCTCGCCTAAAGTTCCATTGTGCCAAGCCCTGAAGGAGAAAATCAAGTCGGTGCTAGAAAGGAGCAGTCGGCGAGTCGCCAAACGGTTCCACGATGCAGTGTTAGATCACCCAAAGTTACAGAACTTGAGGATGCTGAAGGCCAAAGCAAAAAGGCGATGGAACTGACCAAAGGGCGAATCGCCGAGCTGATCGGCGATCCCAACTTACTGCACTGAATGGTCCTTCAGAACATAGTTTTGGCGACTATAAATACATTTTCAAACATTATGTTTAGTAGAAAAATTTATTCTGAACATTCATTAGAGTAATTTTTGAGTTTGAACTGAGAGTATTGAGACAATATTTTCCTTAGCTTTAATGATTTGAAGATTTGAAAATTTCCATTTTTGAGAAATTGAAAGTTGGTCTTGGAGATTCTTCAATTAAGACATTTGTAAAGGCGAAATTAATCTTACCCAGTTGATGGAAACACAATTTGGTAACAATTTCTATCTTTTTATGATGTCAAGCTAAAACCCCAATTCTTGGGGTGTGATTATGTGATTATGGGTTGATTTAGCTGCTGGGTATTGCTAATTGTTAGTGTAAATGTTGTTTAGAAGTGATTTCATTCAATAATTGTGGTTGAAATTAAAGGGTTGTAATTGCAAATGCAGTCCTAACTTCGTGTTTTTGGCTTGCTCGAGAGAGAGGTGTTAAAACCAAGATTATTGAATTGATGGTCTGTGGGTATTGGGTTGTCATGAGTTCAGCTCTAGAGAGTGAATCCTAAACTCTTTTCCACACATTCAGCTCAAGAGAGTGAAGAGATTAAAGTGTAGGTTGTTCTTAATTGATTACTTCTTGGTGTTCGAGAGAAACCAACTTGATTCGGGATAGATTGTTCGAGAGAAAGTTTATCCCCATTAAAGTCTAGCTTATTCACTAATTTACAGTTATTTACTAACAATTGCAATTACCCGTTTGTCTAAATTAGTCCATAATCGAATCACATCCCAATAACCCGTCTCAACATTGTTATTTTCGTATTATTTGCTGTTGTAGTTGATAATTACAATCAAACCCCATGTTATTTGACACTTGTGTCACCATAAATTTGAATTATGTTTTTATTCGTAAATGTCTATTCCTATGATTGACTTGAGCATATTCGTACTTGTCTATTGATTCTCAAACACGTACCACTCCCTGTGAAATTCGACCCCAACTCACTTAGTTGGGTTATATTACTGAGTAACGACCATTGGCACTTAGTATTGGATGAAGTGTCCTGATACATGAAATCAGTAGTCACCTCATCAAAACGATCATTAAGTTCTTGAAGTTGCCAATCAATAATATTGCAAAACACTTCAACACGATAATGATGTAAGATTATATAGTTGGCAAGTTTCCGACGTGATCTTAAGGAGCTAACTTATGGCTACTCAAAGTTAGGTATCAAAACATCTTGTTTGATACAAAATGTAGATACCTTAGCAATAAGAGAATCCCATTCATCATCTCTTAAGACTTACAACCTTTTCTTTGCTACTTCAACAAGTAGCATGACATTTGCAATATCTTTCTCTCTTTTCTGTAAGCATTTATTAAGATCATATGTGATTGCTAAGACATCTCTCATCAAATGCAACATAAACGTAATCTGAAATGTTTGACAAGCTTTAAGATGTCCCATTGTCTTGGCTCTGTCATCCATATTCCTTGCATCAAGAGCAAGTGATTCAAGAACCTCAAGAATAGAGCCAAACATAATAATAAAATTATTAAAGGATTTATAATGAGATCCCCAACGAGTATCACAAGCTCTTGAAAGACCAAGTTGTTGATTCAAGCCCTACCGGTTGTAAGTTCATCCATATCTAATGCCACTTGAATTGTTGATTTTTGAGAATCTAGTAAATTATCTATACACTTAAAAGAAGATCCCAATACATTAAAAACATTTGAGATCAATATTACAAGTTTTCCCACTTCAACACACTTTTTAGAGACCCCAACAAGAGTTAGTTGAAGTTGATAAGCAAAATAATGGATGGAATGAGCCGATTTACTTTCTCTTCTAATCAACATTTTAAGGCCATTGATCTCACCTTGCATATTACTTGCCCCATTGTAACATTGTCCACGCACACTTGATGGACTCAAAGAATGTTGAGCAAGTAAATTAAAAATTGCCTCATTTACAGATGAAGCACTAGTATCATGAACACGAACAATGTCAATAAGTCGCTCCATTACAAATCCCTTTCTATCAATATATCGAAATACAAAAGCCATTTGCTCCTTCTGTGACACATCAAAGGATTCATCAATTAGTAAAGCAAAGTAGTCACCATTTAATTCCTCAAGAATAGTTTTAACGGTCTCTATCTTACATGCACTCACAATATCTTTTTGCATCATTAGAGAATTTATTTGATCATTTAAAGGAGCATGTTCCAAAAAATAATCACAAATTTTATCACATTTTATTGCATACCATGAGATAATTTCAAGAAAGTTACCCCTAGTAAGTGATTATTTAGATTCATCATGACCTCGAAATGCAAATCCCCGACATATGAGAAGCCTTACTACATCAACCGACGCACTTAAGCGCATCAAATATCTATGCTTGAGTTGATTAGATTGCCTCTCAAATGCAAATTGAATAGACCGGTGTTGTCATAGTAAATCTTGACATTTCTTTTTTGACCAATTATGTATGCTATTCGGTAGACAAATATGTTTGTCAAGACCACCCTTTTTGTTCCAACTCTTATATCCTATAGTTGAAAATGTTTCCCCTCCTCCTTGATTAGAGTTATGATCTTTAAATAGATAGCAATACAAGCAATAGACTGCATCTTTACTAACACTATACTCCAACTAATCATGATATATATCTTCAAACCATTTATGAGTCAAATGACGCACTGATCCAAAAATATTTGTTTGAGGATACTCATGCACCGCCAGACGAGGTTGACAAGGACCACTCAAAAGGTATGCTCTTCTAATAACATCACGATGATTTGGATGATAGCTCAATATTGATGTTCTTTCACCAAGATCAAACTTTAAAGTACTCAAATCAAATTCTTGAGACGAATCTAATGATACTTCTGAATGATTGGTATTTTTTTTTTTGATTAGATTGACTATGACTATGAGGGGCTAAACTTGATTTCGGTACCTGTGTAAAATACTTCTTCATTGAATATTGAGACTGAATCATAAAATAATAATTTAGTTAGAACTTACAAAAATTAAACATGCAATAAGGACCAAAATAAAATTATAGGCATAAGGCAGTGAACCAAAGTTTGAATCTCTAAGAAAATAAAAGTTGAATGTTCAAGAACAAATGTTGAATGTCCATACACCATAGTCCATACCCAAATGAATAAATATGTAAAATCAACCAATAAGCCAAAACAAAAAAAAATTAACTTTCATGTTCATTTAATCAGTGAATAGAATTGAAACTTTCAGATGAAATTTATTTTTTTTAAGAGAAGTGAATATCTGAGTCAAATCAGCTAAATATACGAGCACATCAATAAATACCAAAATCAAAGCATATAGAATTCTGAAAAACAACTTTTAAAAAAATAAAATAAAATACAAGAACTTGTCAAGGTTGCCAACAATGGTTGAATCATGAATGAAGGAGAGAATGAAATGATCCGCAGAGCTCGGAGGACCACCAATGGCACTGCAACAAGAACGTGGTTCACTTAGGAAAAGTTTAAACAAGAGTAAGTAAAATCAAGGTTGTGTAGAATAACAATTGGTATCAGAGCAGGTTATCTTATGCAGGCTAACACCTAATATAAAGATCGCGATGAATTCTGCACCGCCTATCGGGCATAACGAAGGACAATCAACTGTTAGACCACCAATGTTCAATGGATCTCACTTTGGCTGGTGGAAGGCATGCATGGAATATTTCATACAAGCTGAAGACTATGAACTCTTGGATAGGATAAGTATTGCACCTACCATCCCTATGAAGATTGTGGAAGGAGTACAGGTTCCTAAGGTCAGGATTGACTTCACTGTGGAAGACCTATCCGCTCTCAGGAAGAATGCTAAGACCAAAAACATTCTAGTTTGTGGCCTAGGACCAGACGAGTACAAGAAAATCTCAAACTGTACTACAGATAAACAAATCTAGGATGCACTTGTCAATGCTCATGAAGGAACCAGTCAAGTAAGGAAATTTCGAGTAGCCATGTTGTTTACTGAATATGAAACCTTCAAGATGAAGGAAGGTGAACCTTTATTAAAAATGATTAGTAGACTCACAAAGTTTATCAATGAGTTGTCATCTCTAGGAAAGGTTCTCACTACTGAGGAGCAAGTTGACAAGGTGCCGAGGATTCTTCCACAAGCGAAATGGGATATAAAAGTCATTGATATAAGGGAAGCTAAAGATATCTCCATAATGACACTTGATGCACTTGTGGGAAATCGCAGAACATATGAGATGAATATGGATGACTTAAAGAAGGAGCAAATGCTCAATGAAAAATCAATGGCCCTAAAAGTATCTGATGAAGAAGAATTTGATCTAGATGATAAACAAATGGCATTCCTGGAAAAGAACTTTAAAAAATTCCTTAGAAAAGGAAAAGGGAATGAAAGGAAGGAAACAAGTACTAAGAAGTGGTCAAATGAAAAATCTCAGTTTGGCTGCTACAAGTGTGGAAAGATTGATCATCATATCAAGGATTGTCCACAATGGGAAATTAAATGGAGGAAAGAAAGAGCTGAAAAGGAAAGGACCGCAAAACAAAAGGAGGAATGTGCAATGATAGCTGCTTGGGGATCAGGAACTGAAGAATCTAGTGATTAAGAGATTGATGAAACAACCTTCATAGCTGTAGGAGACTCAGATCTCGAGGAGGTAGAAAACTCTGAGGAAGAATGTGCTGAGGAAGCTGCTTGGGGATCGGAAACTGAAGAATCTGAAACTAATGAAACATCTCTCATGGCTGCAGGAGACTCAAATCTTGAGGAAGAAGAAAACTATGAGGTTAGTATCCTTGATCTAAAATAAAAGTTGCATCTTTTTTCAAAAAATAAATTTATCGGATTAATGAGTGATTTAATTGGTGATTTTCAAGAATTAACTTGTGAAAGAGATCAACTGTTTAAAGATTTTGCATATCAGAAATTTGAGTGCATGGAACTCAAAAGTTGCAAAACTATAACTGATGAACAAAATAGTTGTCTAAAGAAACAAGTTGAAAAACTTGAGTATTTTAATCTGGATCTAAAATCTGAAGTCTTAAAGATGTCAATAACTGGACAAGGAAAGGAAAAACTGAGTGAAACTGAAATAAAATTGGTAAATGATCTAGAAAAATGCAAAAATGATTATTTTACTGAAAAAGTAAATGTGAGAAAACTAAATATAGAAATTTCTATGATAAAATGGATCTTGATAAGACAAATGGATGGACTCATTCATCCAAAATAGTTAATCACCTAAGTGAGAGAAATCACAATGAGAAAGTTGGCATTGGTTTTTATAATGATAAGGTTATTACAACAGACTTATGCTATATTTATGGCAAAACTGGGGCATCGCACCACTCAATGTCATGTAGCCAACAAATCTACGAATAAGAGTGTTGAATTAGCAACTAACAACTATTTTAAAACCAATCAGAAAAATAGGAGCAAAATTGGATGCCCAATTGGGCAAAAAGAAATCTTATTCACCCCTTCAACCATTGGAAAGGACCCAAGCTAGTCTGGGTTCCTAAAACTAACCTTTAAAATGTTTGCAGGCAAAAGTGAAAGGAAGCAAGCATTGGTATATGGATAGTGCTTGTTCGAAGCATATGACTGGAGACAAATATAAATTCCTTTCACTCATTGCATTCAAAGGGGGAAGTGTTTCATTTGGAGATGGAAAAAAAGGTACTATTGTAGGAGTCGAGAAGATTGGAAAGTCCAAATCCAAAGCACTGGAAGAAGTGTACTATGTGAACATGCTAAAACATAATCTGTTCAACATCTCTCAACTATGTGACAAAGGTAATAAAGTAATTTTTACTTCTGAAGGTTGCAGGGTTGAAAAGTTGGATACAAAGGAAGTTGTCTTAACAGCTAAAAGACATAGAAATGTGTACAAAGTTGACATCATGGGAATGTCAGGAACAACTCTGAAGTGTCTCAATGAAATGGCTAATGATCCCTTACTATGGCACAAAAGACTTGGACATGCAAGTTTGAAGCAAATAAACAAATAGTTAGAAAGGAAATGGTTATAGGCTTGCCCTAAACCAAATTCAAAAACGACAGAGTTTGTGGTGCATGTGTAAGGGGGAAGCAAGTGAGATCATCCTTCAAGTCAAAGAACCAGGTAAGCACAACCAAGTTCCTTGAACTGATTCATATGGACCTATGCGGACCAATGAGGGTGAGAAGCAGAGGAGGAAAAAGGTATGTATTTGTCATTTATGATTTTTCTAGATTCACTTGGACTCTATTCCTAGCTTCTAAATAAGAGTCCTTTGATGTTTTTTCTATTTTTATCAAGAAAATGGAGAAAACTCTAGGACTGCCCTTGATTTCCATAAGATCTGATCATGGAACATAATTTGAAAATGCAAAATTCGTAGAATTCTGGTCATCTCATGGAATAGATCATAATTTTTTCTGCTCCTAGGACTCCTCAACAAAATGGAGTAGTTGAAAGGAAAAATGGGACTTCAGAAGATATGGCCAGAACCATGATGATTGCCAATAATCTTGAAAAGAATCTCTGGGTTGAGGCCGTCAGTACAGCATGTTGCATTATCAATAGGTGCATGACTCGTCCTATCTTAGAGAATACTCCCTATGAATTACACAAAGGTAGAAAACCAAATATCTCTAACTTGAGGACTTTTGGTTGGAAATGTTTTGTTCATAATAATGGGAAAAATAACCTGGGAAAATTTGATGCAAGAAGTGATGAGGGAATCTTCTTAGGATATTCTCCACATAGAAAAGCATATAGGGTTTTGAATAATAGAACAAAATGTGTTGACAAGAGTGTGCATGTTATTTTTGATGAAAACATCTCTTTATTTGAGACTAACATGTAGGGTGATAATGAAATTGAGGAACACAGGCAGGAACAAAGTGAGCAACCTGGTCCCTCAGTTGAGCAATCAGAGACTACAAAGACAGGGGGAACAATAAGTCAAGATATTGGTCACATTGAAGAACAGAATGTAGTAGATACTACTGAGATCTCTTCAGGGTTAAATGTAAAAAGCTACAAGTATCAAGGATCGCATCCAATTGACAGTGTTCTTCCAGACCTAACATCTGGAATCACTATCAGATAAGGCTTAAAGAACTTATGTGCATTTCAAGCTTTTGTGTCCATGGTTGAACCCAAAAAGGTGAAGGAGGTTCTTCTTGATGAAGATTGGATACAAGTAATACAAGAAGAGCTCAATCAATTCGAGAGAAGTAAGGTATGGCATCATGTTCCACCACCGGAAGGGAGAATAGTGATTGGAACTAAATTGGTATATAGAAACTAGCTATATGAGAATGGAACAGTCATTAGAAACAAGGCAAGGTTGGTAGTTCAGGGGTACAATCAGCAAGAGGGAATCGACTATGATGAGACATTTTCTCCTGTAGAAAGACTTGAAGCTATTCGATTACTCATTGCATTTGCTTTTTTTAAAGAGTTCACCCTCTATCAAATGGATGGGAAGAGTGCATTCTTGAATGGATAAAAGAAGAAGTATATGTAAAACAACCACCTGGTTTTCAAAATCCTGAGTTCCTTGATCATGTCTATAAATTAGACAAAGCTTTGTATGGGCTGAAGCAAGCTCCAAGAGCATGGTATGAAAGGATATCGAAGTTTCTACTAGAACATGGTCATACAAGAGGTAAAATCGACAGCATTTTTTTTTTCTAAAAACAAATGGAAAAGACTTGTTGATTGTGCAGGTATATGTGGATGACATAATCTTTGGATCTACAAATAGTCTGATGACTCAAGTGTTTGTTAAACTTATGAGTGGAGAGTTTGAAATGAGAATGATGGGTGAACTTAATTTCTTTCTTGGATTACAAATCAAGCAAACACCCACAGGTACCTTGATTCATCAACAAAAGTGTGTGAATGATTTGCTCAAAAAATTCAACATGAATAAAGCAAGGGAAATTGATACTCCTACTGCTACTGCTACTAGGCTGGATATGGAAGAATCAGGTGCATCTGTTGAGCAAAAGGTGTATATGGGAATGATTGGGTCTCTCTTGTACCTTACTGCAAGTAGACCTGATATTGTGTTTAGTGTAGGACTTTGTGCCAGGTTTCAAGCAAATCCCAAAGAATCTCATCTTAAATCTATTAAAAGAATTTTCAGGTATCTCAAAGGAACCACTGGTTTGGGACTTTGGTACTCCAAAGAAAGCAACTTCAATCTCGTTGGTTATGCAGATGCTGATTATGTTGGATACCTGGTCAACATGAAATGTACCACATGTATGGCTCACTTCCTTGGAACATGTTTGATATCCTGGTCCACCAAGAAACAAAATTTTGTAGCCTTGTCTACTGCTGAGGCTGAATACATGGCGGTTGGATCATGTGGTGCACAATTGCAATGGATCAAACAACAACTGTTGGATTTTGGTTTAAATGTTGGTAGCATTCCTATCTTATGTGATAATACTATTGTTATTAATATAGCAAAGAATCTTGTGCAACATAAATAAACAAAACATATTAATGTGACACACTATTTTTTGCGAGATAATGTAGAGAAAGGTCACATATCAATAATGTTCTGCTCCACTGAGGAACAAATTGCTGACATTTTTACCAAAGCATTACATAGAGAGCACTTTGAGAAAAATAGATTAGACTTAGGGATAATTAAGATTGCATAATTTCCCTTCCTTAATGATTTGTTAGAAAACAGTCATTATACGAAATAATAAGTGTTTAGGCTATGAAGTGATAAATTCTCTAGTCTATCAAATACATTCACTTGTATATCAATTTTGTCCTTATCAGCTCTTATAAATTCTCATGGATCTTTGTTACTCTGAGCAGTGAAATATAGGTACAAATTAGCTAAGCAAATTGTGGAGCACTCCTTAAGTATAAAATGTTTTTAATATAGAGTCACACATGCTGATACATATTAATAACATGGTTCTTTTATTTTTTTCTCTCTCGTTAATACTAACCGCCAAAACCAAAAACCCTTCGTCTCCCCTTCTTTTCTATTTTTCTCAGAAAGTTGTCACTATCATATCACCCATCCTTTCGTCTGTTCACCTCCAACTATTATCTTGATTTTTGTGGACGGTATTGCCCATGTTTTGTCGCTCAATGGCCCTCCACCCAGCCCAACTGTTGAGGAAAATCGTGTTTTGGACCTCCCTTTGGTTCTTCCTCCTGAAGCATCGAGTGAGGGGGAATCAAGAGAGCATGCAACTATCAAGGTCACACTATATGGGCTTGCAAATTGGAGCTCTGTAAGTCATAATCACTTTCTTCCTTTTTTCACTGAACTTTGTCCCATGGCATATAATGGTATCCCTGTCCCCTTGAGTATCGATACCCCTGAGGAAATTGCTTTGGCTAATATTGAACCTACAAAGGGTAACCGTCATCTTACAACTCTCAATAGAAAGTGTGCGTCGAATCCTGTGTCTGAATCGTCTCTACCCATAGCTAACCCCTCCATTTCGGGTGTTAGGGTCCCCCAAACTAGACAAAAACGTCATCAAGCTGAGGCTGATCTGGCCTCTGCCATGGAAGCAAGTAAAAGGACCCATGCTTCTACAAGAACTTTACCTACAACCCCTGACATTGTTATTTCTGATGATGATATTGTTCTTAGTAGGGTTAGGCGTGGGAAACATATTGCTTTGAAATCTTCTTGCTCTAAGCCAATGCCCACCCTAAAAGCCATGAAATCCTCTTTTTCCAAGCCCTCTTCAAAATTTGTCCCGAAAGTACGATCCTCAAGAAATTCAGTGTCAACATCAAAAAATAAACATGTTGCTTCCCCTATTTCCTCTTCTTGTTCCTTGTCTGGTTCAAATGCTAAGAATCTAACCCAGTCCAATCCTTCAGCATCATCCGCTCAGCTTGATTGAATCATTCACTTCCTTCAGTAGTCAGTTCTTAGAGAAAGAATGGTCACTGGATTTGGGGTCCTCAGATGACTATGTTACTGTCCAAGCTGGAGGCCTAAGGTTGGTCAGCTCTTTTTCTTCAGGGAGATACCCAATGTAGGATGGCAAAGAGGGAGGTAACTGAATTCTACATAAATGGCAAGAGTGATGGTCTATCTTTTACTTCCACTGTGCAAAACACTCTTATTCATTTGGTCCCTGTTGATGTTGCTCGGATATTAGAGATTCTTCAGCAGGGTGGGGTCACTATGTGAAACTTGAATGACATCCACTAACTGACAAGTCCTGTGCACTAAGTATCTGTTGAAAGTTCTCCTCAAAACCTACTCTGACTCATCATCGTTGCATTGACAAGAATGAGACGTCTCAACCACATCAGTTATACTTTGATGTGGTTCATAAGATTATCCTGCAACGTAAGCAACGACGGATGCAGGCTAACTTTCTTGATCTTACCCTTATGGAGTTATTGGATACTGAGGTACCTATTGACTTACCCTCTCTGATCATTAAACGCATGCACATGGTTCTTAATCAGGATAAAAATGGGCATGCTCTTCTTTATGGGTTCTAGATGGCTTCTATCTTTGAGGCTTTTGACATGCCAGTATATGTGTGGGTCTCTCAAACTGTCAAGGATGTGGTAGGTTGGGTGAATCATATGGCTCTTCCTGTTACTATAAGGCGCTTGGTCTCCCTCTTCAGCGATTGAAAAATTAGCTTGCTGAGAAGGAACATGAAATAGCAGCTATGACGACTGACTGCTCATCAATTAGAAAGGGAGTTGGGAAGCTCAAGTAGTGGCTCTCCAAAATGAACTTTCTCAGGAAAGGACTACTAATATTGCCACTGTGCGCCACTTGACTCAACTACTGTCCCCTCGAAATTCCACCTTTGCCCCGTAAAACCTTTCTTCTCTTTTGTCTCTCTGCTCGACTATGTTGTTTTTGTGGATCTTGTGTTGTGTGTGCTCTCTCTTTAAGATGTTTAATGTCTTTTGGTTGTATTCTATGTTTCTGTTTTGGCTCTTCCTACACTAATTTCAGCTCTTGGTATTATTGTCTATGTTAATCCCTACTTTTAG